TAGGAACAAGAAGCTACTAGAAACAAGGGCATCGCGGCTAGTAGCAAAGGGCAGTGCTACTAGGAGCAAGGACGCTAGTAGTAGCAAGGTGCATCGCTACTAGGAGCAAGGACGCTACTAGTAGCCCCTGGCCTTACTACTAGGAACAAGAAGCTACTAGAAATAAGGGCATCGCTACTAGTAGCAAGGTGCATTGCTACTAGTAGCAAGGACGCTACTAGAAGCTCCTGGCCTTGAAACCCAATGGGGGTCATGAAAGGGGGCTATGAGGGGGCAATCGATGTCACCCAATGTACGTGATGAAAGGGCGTGAGGAGCAACGGATAAAGCAGTAGTTCAGGTCCAAAGTCCTTGGTTGCCTTCTAAACATGAAACAAATAAGATCAAGCATGGCTATCTGATCTTTTGAGGTATCGGTCCAACTCTCTCTGGGCTTCCCAGGCCCGCTTCGTTTAAAGAGGCTGGGATAGGAGGCAGCTCCTTGGACATAGCGATGTGCCTCGCCGGAGCTGGGGCGGAGCTGGAAGAACTCCGAGCTCGCCGCGGCGAAGTTTGGAGATCGGAGATCGGTGGCTTCGCATAGAAAGAACTTGTCCACTGGATTTGCTGTTTCTTCACATATGTTGTTGTTGTTGTTGATGTTGTTGTTGTTGTTGTTCTCCAAAATCATGTTTATTCTTCTAGAGCATTGTGGCCTTCAAAGAGTTTTTCTATGTCCATTTATGTGTTGGATACTTCCAGAGCTGCATGTGCAACCTTTCACCAAACAAGTTATTTGAAGGACAAAGACCTGGCGCCAGGCTTGCCAACTCTTTGCAGGTCCGGACACTGCCAGTTCGGTCAAGTGGGCCATGGGGCGCTGTGTCAAGCGCATGAGCAGCCAGTTGAGGAAGCCTGTGTTTTGATCAAGATCAATTCTTGCTTACTGAATACCCTGGAACCCGACTTGTGGGCATGTGACACCTCTTCTTCATTCTTCCTCCACACACCCTCAAGCCTCAGGGCGAACATCACCTCAGGGCAAGGTGAAAGAAGGAGTTGCATCAAACACCAACATGCAGCACAAGCCACGAATTGTTGAACTCTGACCCCCCCAATAGTCCAACAATGACACTGGACTTATTGGATGTGAGCTGTGAGTGTAAGGGGCAGTCGTGAGGTCCATTGGTTTTGGTGGTGTTCTGGTCTGGTCTTCGATTTAAAAGTGTGCAGCAGCAACAAACAACACACTTGGCCAGCCGTCTGACGGTCACAGTTCATCATCTAGGAAATAAAGCATGTACATACTCTGGCAACATAATTACTATAGCCTGGTCGACAAACAACACCAATGCCCGCTCGTTCGCACTTAGATGTTCGATGATAGAACAATAGCATGTATATCCAACCCACATTGCTCTGACATCTCTCTCATTTTGGGAGCGCTCCTCTCACCCTGCTCACAGTCATCGACCCCCACAACAGCCGGCTTCTGCAACCTCTGCCGAGCCCACTTCTTCATGTCGCAGATGGTCTTACAACACGTTTGAGCCCACCAGGGTCCCTTGGTCTCCGAGCTCCTCCCGCTCCAATCTCCGATCTCCTCCCCTCTCCGTCTCCAAGATGCATTTTCAAAGGCTCCGTTGCCCCAGGGCCGCTCTGCGGAGGCCATTTCGATGACCACACAGCCCAAGCTCCAGATATCCGCCTCGGTGCCACACAAGTCGGCCGGTGGCGGCCGGGCCGAGGGTGCCGTGCCGCGCGGGTCTCTTCCGAAACCACGGCCATGCTGGTTTATACACACTTGCCATGGTGAAAGTACAAAACGCGCTTGCGCCAGGCAAAGGGCAGGAACATGATGGAACATGTATATATATATATGTATATATATATGTATATATATATATATGCGTAAAACAAGGAACCTATATGAACCGTTCTTTCTTTTTCTCTCGCAAACGTCCGGTTTTCTCCCGCCTTGCGGCCGTAGCCGTCCTGCTGTTGGATCACCTCTGGCGCCATCCACGGGATTGACCCGATAGTGGTGAAGGAGGTGGTCACCTCGGCCCCGCGTGGTACACCCGAGCAGCACACGTGATACACCGGAGACACGAGGGGCGGTCCGAAGGTCCGTTTCCAGGGCCAGCCACATTCACTGATGGCCGAAGATGGCGGAGAAAAGCATTGGTGCGACAGATTGTTGCCATCATTCAGGGGCTTGGAATCTTGCAAGGTCCAGTACAAATTGACCAAAAGAAGAGCCACGCACAAAAAATATGAATGCATGGCCCACCCACGTTCCACCACAGGTGCTGTGCGGAGATGCTCGTCTCGCAGGCGTGCGCGGTCGCGGTCGCGGTCACCTGGCCGAGGAGCATTGCTGCGCTTGGAGCAGCCAAAGTCGCTGAGTTTGACAGTAAAGTTCGTGTCCACCAGAATATTGGCCTTGGTGCGGTGAGATGGAAGTGGCTTGGTTGCTGGGTTTTCCTTGGTGCGGGGCCTCACGGAATAAGGATGGTTGTGTCGGTTTGTGAAGGAGCAGTATTGAGGCATTCAAACATATACAAATACCTGGAGATGATGCCAACCCTGAAGGACACTTTGCTAGCAGAATGGTGTAATTATTTGTAATTAGTCAACCGCTCATCTCTCCTGTATATGGCTGGCCGCTTCCTTTTGTCCCATAATGTCCCATCTGTGAAAGGTCAGATAGTGGAGACTTGGCACCACATGTCCCTCATGAAACTTCCTGGCGCAATGCTTTTTTAGCAGGGATGATTGCGGACAAATCTGACAGTGGCTTTACAGTCCTCCGTTCGCCCAAAAGTGTTGGATGCTGTTCATTCCACGAAATTCCCAAGTCAGGTGTTTCTGCATTCATACTAGACTTCAACCTCCCAAGTCCGAATCCAGAATTGAGTTTTGCCCTGCTCACTCTGACGGTGCACCGTGAACGTCCCCGCTTTGGAACTGCACCGTCCTTCCCTCCGGGCCCCCCCGACACCTTTGATGTCACGGTGCACCACCGGCGGGTTTCGAGTATGCAGGTAGTTCAAGCCCTGCCGAGGACGGTGTCAAAACCACCCTAAACCCTAAAGGCCACGAAGCGAATGCTTTGCATACACTGCCGAGTCAAGAAACAATGCACGGATAGGAACGGATGGGCCCCCTGGAAGATCGTTTCAAGGCAGTACAAGTAGATTCTTGCTCCTATATTGGTGGCCTCCAACCTAATAGCGATGGCCTCCACCGTGCGTAGCTTCTACGTTTGTAGGTTCCGGGTGGGCGCTTCCAGAGGGACATCGCCTGCAAGACACCGGTGGTCGACCTCGTGAGCAACTCGCCAGAGAGCCTCACAAGTCGGACGTCGAGTCAGGAGAGGCTCGGCTGTGTGCGCCCATGTTCCGTGGGCCCTTTCACAGGACGTGTTCATTCACGACGTGTTTGTAGGATGTGTTTTGTATGAAGGACACTGCCAAAGGAAAGAAAGGGCTGAAGAGGCAACCACAAATCTTCTGTATCTCTCACAGACACCTAGATTGAAAGAACCATGTGCTTCAATTCTTATTTAAAACAAAATACATGTCCAATATTGTCCAGTGTGCACTTGCCGGCAGGTGCACTGGGCTGCCCGACGGCCCGAACTCCTGGAGCAAAGAGCTCATGGAGCCACCGGGCCTCGTCGAGGGTCGACCCGACCCGAGGTCGGGGCTCGGGCTCCGAGGTCGGGGGTCGATTTCATGGACATGGGCACTGGGCCTATCTTACAGTTGGATTGCGAGAGGAACCTTGGTCAACAAATCTGCATATATTCAACAGTCTGCAAGTTCAAAACGTGCAATGTTAAACATGAGCTGGTCTCATCTTCCCTGGGTAATCAAATTGAAATAGAGTTCGATGAATGTAGTTTGCCCTTGGCAGTCACAATTTGGTTTCGCACCACTGCAATTGCTTTGCCCAAAAAGGAATTTGATAGCAACAAATTGGATAGAAGATAATCGACGAATATTTCAAGTAGAAGATGCTGATTGAGGGGGTTGCCAGGAAAGGTTCAAATAGATTGTTTCTAATAGCTTCTTGTTACTACTAGTAAGGCACTTGTTACTAGTAGCGAGGC